GTCGTCTTGACCATGTCTACATGCTTAAATGCACTGAGTCGCTGCCGTGTAATTGGCTGATCAGATATTTGCGTTACTGAGCAGCTGAACCTGAAAAAAATGGCTGGTGAGTTTATTCCTTCATCGTATCAGCGAGTTGGTTTTGCCTTATCTCTTGTTTAGACTACTTCTTCATCTGTTTAGTTGAACAATGGCTTTGTGTGACATCAGTAAAGCACTAGAACAGTCTGTAAAAAGTGCATTAACATTGGTGGAGATTCAACTCAACTCAACTTTATAAAGCTCTTTAACACAACAAGTCAAAACAAAGTGCTGAACACAAAATATAAAACATCATTTAAAACATCTAGAAAATAAAATAACTTAAAAAACAATTCACAAATGTCTTTCCTTTGAAAAATGTAAGTTGACATGTAAATGTTGATGCATAAGTTAAGAATAAGTTCAACAGATACAAATGCAGGTTTACAGAAATTGATGATGTTAAAAGGGGCTATGAATGCATACCTCAGGTCTTCAGTGACTCACGCTACATTACATGTGACTCTAATTCCTTCATTTCATTCAATGAAGCACTCATCTCCCTGGTATTCCTCATACAACAATGTTCTGGTGGCAACAAAAAGGGAGGTCCAACTTCCAAAAGCTGACAGAAGCTCTGAAAGTCTGTAGTTTTCCCAGAATCTGAATCTTCTTAGCTAAAAAAATTCCCTCTAAAATGCTCAGGATGAGTCTGTCTGTGCTCGACTGCAGTGGAACGGTGAGCGCACAATAACCAGGCTTCAATAACTACAAGTGTGCGACTATTACTTTCTGTCTTTAATGTCTGTTGTTTTGCGTGGCAGACATCGTGTTCCTGCGCTCCTGGTATCCAGTGACTGTTCCTCAGCTCTACAACCCCGTTACCTCTCTGCTGCTGCCTGTGGGCCAGAAGGACAGCTGGTCGGGCATGAGGACGATGGGGCAGCTCAAACGTGACCTGGGCATCCGCAACAAGCCTAATACTGACTCTCTGTACAAGGTAGAGTAGACGCAACCAGACAGATCTCTGACACTTGATGTGATCCAACAGTGAGGGATTAAGAGTAGAGTATGGACTCAGTGTTGCTAAAAGACTTCAAGTAAAGACACATTTTGTTGTGTGTTTGTGTTTGTTAATAGATATGTTTTTATGTGTGGAGTGCTGACAATAACTTTTTACCAAATCGTGTTTATTTGTCATTTTTCATTGTTATTATCATTATTATTATTGTTATTATTATTATTATTTGATTATTATTTCACTCTGCCTATTTGTGTGTATTTTATGACTCTACCTCTGTCTGCCACTAAGTACTATTGTTAACCTAAATCCTGAGCTAACGTGAACATTCATCCCTTCTCTTTAAGCCGATATCCCGAGCCCAAAGGCACTTCAACCGCCTGCACATTCCCAAAGAGCTCCAGAAGGCTCTGCCCTTCAAGAGCAAACCCAAACAGCAGCAACGTAAAGGAAAGACGCCCAAAGACCTCCAGAGGCCGAGCGTGATCCGAGAGCCTCACGAGAGAAAGGTGAGCAAAACCTGACTCTGCAGTTTTTGTGCAGCAGCTCATCAAGAGTGAGAATTTAGATACTTGGGCAGATCAGCTCATTTCAGTTTATTTTTATAGCACTGAACTGTAACATATTATGTTACCTCAAAGCACTTTAAATAGTAAAGTTAATACCTTTCAACATGATGGAGGGAAACCCAACAATTCGCAGTTGAGCAAACAGATGGTAACAGTACGGAGGAAAAACTACTTTTTAACAGGATGAAACCTCCAGCAGAACCAGTTTGGATGAATAGCTGCCAGGTTTGTGAGGCCACAGATTTGGAAACATACAGCTCTGGAGCCAGGTGTACCTTCAGAGAGGGACAGAGAGGGAAAAGCAACAGCAGGGAGAAGACACAGAGTTAATGACATGCAATAATGGGATATGAATCACTATAAATCTACAATGATCTGATGACAGCAACAGTTACGTTTTCCGATCTCAAATGAGATGTTGTCACGACTGGCAGAAGTAATGGCCAAAACTATGCAGGCAGGATCCAGTTTGTTGGAGGTTTCTTTAACTAGAAGATGACCTTGGATTATTCTCTTCAACAAAACATAACATGGCCTTCTCCTGTTGTGACAGGTGATGGCTCTGCTCCACGCTCTGAGCACCGTCAACAACTACAAGAAGAAGAAGGCCCACACGATGCAGCACGCCAAACACAAGGTATTCCTCGAGCAGAAGAAGAAAGAGGATGAGGCCAAGCTGAAGAGACAGAAGGAGGCACAGAAAAAACTGTACCGTGTCATGGGCCAGATGGACAAGAAGAAGCAGAGGTCCAGTCTGAAGGGAGCACAGGACGACTGATTCACTGGACACGGACTCATTTTCTGACTGAGACTCTTGCTATGCTCTTTGCTTTGTGTTCTATAACAGTTTTTTACCGTGTTGTATTATTCTGAAAAATGCTGTAAAGATTTTGGAATTTGTATCAATAAAACACAATATCGACCTAAACACGTGACTTCACTTCTGCTACAGATTCGTATCGCAGTGTTCGTGATTGCGTTTGGAGCCGTTGGGTGCTACTGTCACAGATTATCACATTTAGCTCTTTAAAGTTTAAACCTCCCCTCTAGCATCTAAAATGTTCATATACCGTATGCATGTGTAGAGGATTTGTCATATAGCAATCTGGTTATTTAGTCGTTAGTGAGGAAGACTACTCAAGAGTCTGGTAGTCAATTATCTTACACTAGTTTTTGGTTGTCTGTCATGTATCAGTGTACTGAAACTGTCATGTAATTGAAATTAAGAAGCAGAATATGCAAGTATGATGTTATTTCTCTCACTATGTCAGATATTTGTTACGCTGTGTCACTTATCGAATCATCCTAAATACATGCACGTTCCACCAGTAAAAACAACATGTCGCAGCACTGCTACTGTTCTCTAGGTAAAGAGACAAAATTCACTTAGGAGTGTGATCTGTGGTGTTATGAAGGCAGAATCTCACCAAGTCTTACAGCAAACTAGAATAAACTACATCCTGACTTCACACCTTCAAAAGAGCTCATTCCTTCCTGGAAGATGGAGAGAGATGATCATAAAAATTCTAAATAAAACCATGACAAATAGGGTGAGATAGTCATTTAAACTAATACTTACAAATTTGGACATCTACAAATATGACTACGGCATTGTAAATGACACTTTTATACACTCTACATGTACATATTAAATATACTGTATGTATAATACTGGCTATCTTGTAGTATTCTGACCTGGAGGAAGTCAGGTTAGGTAGATTGGGGTGAAAGCCCCCAGGTACTTAAAGGAAGTCACTAGTGTTCTTTGTAGTAAGTTAGCCTCAAAAGAAATGCTCAGTGTTGTTCAGAGGAACTTCAGGGTTTGTGTAATATTCAGACTTTTCAAAATAAAACACCTACATACACAATGTATATTGTCCGCTATCTCTTAGCAGGGCATATCAAATGGCAGTAGCTGCACTGGTGCACTCAAATTTTTCAGAAATTGCAAACAAATGTTCCCATTCTTAAACACTGATAATGAAGAATCAAAAGATAGATATCAGAGTTTGTGCTTTCCTCGTGTGAGTCTTTAGCACTTCTACTACTTTCTTAGTAATACATCAGCTTTCACGACTGAATTCACCTAAATGCACTGTTAGATCATTACGAGGTATTTGGTACATTTGTCCAAAAAAAAGAAAGAAAAGACAAAAAAAGAAACAGGCAAGACTGTTCTATAGTTTTACATAAAAAAAACAAACAAAAACTTTTCAGTACATGTTTATAAGTTTGTTTCTCTTGCCTATATTTCTAAAGTGGTAACAGCAGTACTCATCTACTGCAGGAGTTCCATTTTTGGTCATACGGTAGGTGCCCTTCTGGTTGGAAGGTGCTAGCTGAAGTAAAAAAACAATACACAAATAGTTTAAAACTTGATCTGTCCTTTCATCAGAGGAACTTGAAGTGCTTCTCTGACATCATCACACAATACATTTCAGAATCACACATGTCGTCCATGCATGCTCCCTTTTCCGCAACCAGTTGAACTGCACCAAATACATCTCTCTGTACATGAGGTTTTCCTGTTGTTAACACTGTGCATTTAGCTTTGACAGTAAAGATGTATTCCAAATTGTTGTAAAAGACATACTTTAGTCAATAGATGGTGGATCGCAATGAATTATTTACAATAACCTATATATACCAGCTTTTCAGGACAGATACATACATTTCTGCTTCAGTTGAGGATTCTCACAGCCCATTGATGACACTGAGTTATAGAGGATGAGTCTTCTGCTTTTCTACTTCAGTTTCTATGGTGCTGCTTCTATAGTCAGAATGTTTCACTTTCATTTACCAGCTTGGAGAGCAATGTTATCACAATAAAATATGGCATAAAACCAAAACAGTGCTCAATTAATTCTCTTTATTTTACATAAATTACACTGTTCCAAGACCCGATGCATCTTATTCATATGCATATCGACAGAAACATTTTTTTTTTTTTGCACAAACTGTTCAAACTGAATCAGGTTGTATCATGCAAACAGAAGAGGACATCAGTGAAAGAAATAGAAAACGTGCCTCACAATATATACCTTTTATACAATTTATTACATTAATTCTGCAACAAAAGTCAATACCTGTAATTCCAAACACTGTACACATCCTTCATCACAGCTTTCAATCAGAGAGATGTGATCAACCAGGTGATGAGAAAAACACACACATAAAGACACGTACAGTTTATCAGGTATGGCATGGCATAGCATTAAACATAAATTAAAATTGCACATATAAATTTACAATGACATTATTCTTCTGCCAATCACCACTGCAGCTGTACAAGTTTGATTGGACAGTGGGGATGCAGTATCACAAAAAGCGTTGTGGTGGTGTCTAAAGGTCCATGAAGAGACTTTAGACATCAAGGTGAGGCGATTTACTGAAAAGGTGTTGTAGTCTAGGTTAACCCACAGTTCTATTACTTTTCAACGTGGCATGCCAATGATGCAAGTGCTGCAAATCAATGCTAGTAACTCCAGTCCCCTGTCAGCTCAGTGGCAAAGGCAAGCTGGCCTGGCTCTATTGCTGGAAATGCTTCACACCTCCAGACTGAGAAAAAAAAAACAAAAAATAACCCAAAACAAATCTTTGAATTTGTTGTTTTTTTAATTTTTTTTTATCTATAATATAATACAGATAGAAACTTCACATAGTCCTGACCTTTGTGTGTGAGGTTCCTTGAGATGACTTATGTTGTGAATTGGCACTATATAAATAAAACTGAATAAAATACAATTGAATTAAATCCTTTTAAAAATTCAATCCAATTAGACTTGTTTACGCAAAACATATCGTAGCAGAAAATTTGGGTGATATCTGTTGGTAACAAAGACTCTTTTTGTTTTTTTGTTTTTTTTTTAGAATATAACAAAACATTAAGGTAAAGATGAATTCACAACTTAATGTTTGTCATGACCATTTACATGTGAACTGTATCCAGCTGATGTGGCAGCTTGATTATGTCCTCCAAAACATCGCCAGGTTTGGCTCCACAATATAGCTGGGTTTAAAGAACATTATGCAATAATGGATAAAAGCCTGACTGTGGTTGAAATTTAGGATAGATTTGAGCTGATGTTGAAAGTCATAACCACCAAACATTTGAACTTACAGAAGTTATACAGCCTCAGTACAAATACAACTGCTTCACTGTGTACAGTATATGGCCATGTAGTGGTGCAACTCACAACTAAAGTTGATCACTTTTTTCTTTGGCCTATGATAATTAAAAATATCCAACTAATTAGCAAAATCACTTTAACTTTTTTTCCGAGGACAAGGTAACCAAAATGAGGGATTACAGACATTTGCAGCTGATGTTGTATTTTCCTAAGCTGCCATTAACCACTATTGCATCCTTTTACAACAAGACATTCATAATCACTATTGGAGTGAATGTACTGTATGTAATTAAAAAGGCTATTTGAGTTATTTCCTAGTCTGACTCACAGAACAAAGGTATAAGCCTGTTGGTGGCTGCTCCTGTCAGCTGGCTTTCTCCTCTCCTACCGTTATCTGTGTTTCCATTTATAAAATCCATTTCACAGAAAAAACGTCTTGGCACCAACCTACCACACTGAGAAGTTTTGCTGAGGAATGGATCATAGTTTTGGAACAAGGCAGCCCTACTTGTTCTTTTCAGTGAATGAACCATTTTACTCAGTTCTTGCCTCAATTCCTGCAAATTTTCCACCATAATAATACCACGCCATTATTCTAAGGTAACACCAAAGCTGTGTCTTTCGATTAGCTCCACCAACAATGACTGTGATTTAATTTAAAGAACTACAAACAAGCCACATTTTTTTCCCCCTTTTATAGCAGAATGATAGTGGTGCAGTTAGACCACTATGTTCTACAGAGTGGGCTGGCTAAGCAAGACTAGTTATGTCTCAATTAAACACATAACTGATAAAATGAAACATTCAAGTGTGTTAAAACAGTGAAGATATGCCAGTTCAGCCTTGCAGGCTTATATCATCCTGAACCTTGTGTTGTGCACCAAATACAAAAGCCTGACAGTGTGTGTTGTGAAGTATCATCTCTGATGTTCCTAAGCTACATCGTGTTCACGGAGCTGTTCTGCAAACCAGTGGTCAGATGTGGTTATTCTGAATGCTGAACTGGTTTAAGTTCATAAGATGTGAATATCAGTTTGATAATCTATATTGTTGATGGAAAGGCTGAACTCCCTTCATGAACAGTTCCATTACCACTGCTAACAGCAGAATCCGGGAGTCGAATCCATAAATTCAAAATCATATACAGTACATGTAATTCCCAATAGATAATATGGGATCTTTTTGTATAAGAACAATTACAAAGAGTATCATTAAAGTCATCTTTAAATCCTGTGATTGTTTGACTGCACTGTTAGGCCACTTGTTCTTCTGGTGTATTTCTGACAGAGCAGCTGTCAGTGGTAGATACAAATTTCACAGACATGTCACGACCACCTGTACCCACAGATGCCAACAAACCAACCAGAACTGACATCCTATAAATTTTGACTGAAAAAGTTCAATGATTATGTTTTTGTAATTGTGTAATTCAAACAGCTGTTATCAACATCTAAATACCACCATGTGAGCAGACAGACAGCTGCAGTCAGTTTTAGGAGTTTTAGGAGTGGCGCTTCAGACAGTATTCAGACCTGTTCCTTTTTCCACATTTTATTGTGCTGGAGATTGTATTTCAAATGGAAATGTGTTTTCCAGAAGTCTACACTCAACACCCCATAATGGCAAAGTGAAAACATTTTTAAAAATTGTTAGTTGCAACAATTGCAAAGTTATTAAAAATCTAAAACTGACGTCTTTTCTGTATGAGGATTGTTCAATCTAAAATCAATAAGGGTCTTCTCTTCGAACAAGAAATGATGACGCAGAAGTCAGTCAGTGATATTTTCTGAACCACATGCAGTTTCATGTTACAATAACACAAAACAAAACATAGATTACTTTTTAACGATGAAATACTAATACGTTATTTTGACTAAACTTTGACTGATTGTACCCCAAGAACAAAAATATTGCTCGATAGCCCAATCCAAGTAGAACGGAGTTCTGGAGTTTCAAAGGGATTCCCCAAATATAACATGGGCATATTTTTCATTTTCTGATCCCACTTTGAAGGCTGGAGAAATTATTTGAACTGTTGGCTATTATACTTATTGAATTCATATATTTTTTGAAATAAATACTTGAAGGCAAACTCTTAAGCATTTTTAATAAATATACATGTTGTCACACTTTCTGCACAAAGTCCAGTTTGTGCCATTTGTCTCAGAGACCAAGTTTATTCCCAGTGGAGAACAAAGTCTGAATTCTTTCTGAAACAATTATAATACTGAGTCGTGTCATCATTGCTGCAGTCAGATTCTGAAGCAGACCTCTTCCCCAGCATCACATCTTACTGAGCTTGTGGACACAGTAGATGGTAATAAGTGCTCAATTTTTTTCTTGCCCCTCAAACGCACCAGGGTGACTGTTAGACTTTAGTATTCAGCTGTATATTCATTAGTAGGAAGGTATTATATTATTTGATAAGTGTAGAGCTATAGGCTGCACAGACACTATGTTGATATTCCATCTGATGTCTACAATATGCTGTGTGTGACTGGTGGCCCTGCAGCAGCATCATTTCACAACTGTGTTGGTTTCATGAGTCATATAAGGCAACAGGCTGAAAGCTGACAGGCAGAAGTCATCAAACAGAAAATAAACAAATGAAACAAGATGTCTAGTGCAGGATCAGCTACACATATATGCCATTCAGGTTCTGTCCCTTAGTTCTATCTTCTGCCTTCATCACAATTCTCTGTCTGTGACTCATTGCTGGTGTCCAAAGTCAGGAAAAAAGCATATCAAGTCCACTCACTTAGATCTTCATGCCAAGCTTGGCTTTCTGTAGGAGAGAGACAACACAGATGTTTAAGGTATTACATCATCCTTACTAAAAGCAGAATCACAGTGAATGAATAAGTGTACGGAACATTTATCAGTTCATTTGAGCATACATTTTGCCTACAGTTATTTTGTGCTGATTTTTCATGAAGAATGTGATATAATGTCAGCTCTATGTTAGAGACCATGCAGAAATCTACTGTGAAAAAAAAAAAGCATCTGGACTTTTAGATTGTTGATGGTGGCTGTGGCTCAGGTGGTAGAGCAGGTTGTCCACGAATCACATCCTGATGAGTGGCTAGCACCTTGCATGGCACCCATTTGGTTGGGACCCACATGGCAGCTCTGCCACCAATAGTGGCAAATGATTTATTGTGTCCAGTCTATCAATCATTTCTCATCTCATATCAACATATCTTAATATCTATGCAATGATTTGTTATTTTCATATTAGAAGAAAAGGGATACTGGAGTTTTGTTATGCTCGTTACATAGTTGTGCATATTGAAGTAGTGTTGTTTGGAAGACAGATCAAACTTCCCATTTTTACACTTCACATTAAGTAAATCACAGAGTAGCAGTATCATTCCATAATATATCTCTGCTGCTTATCAAAATACACAGCAGGATTTATCCTTTGCAAGGAAACGAGCTGTTTCTGTATATGCCAAAGAGTAACTCGTTGTTCAAACTACATCAGTTATCTGCATTGCCTCCAGCATATGGTTGACATTACAACGCACTTTGTATGAAATTAAATCCAAAAAAATGACTTTCAGCAAATGATTTTCAGTCCAATAATTCAAATGTTGCAGTTAAAGAACAAGTGCAGGTCTCCTGTCTGTATTGATGCAATAATACTTAACTGCCTGAGGTTTTTTTGTGTGTTAATTATTTGACACACATGATAATACACACACATGTATCAGTCTAAACTAACATGATATCAACAAAGACTCTCTGGACATGACAGCAGGCACAAGATGCACAAGTTCCTCAGAGACCTAGGGCAGTAGTCTTTGCATGCTAAATGCTAAATGTTAAATATGTTGGTAAGATGAGGGTTGAATAAACAGAAATACAAACTTAGAGTGAACTTACAATGCCAGATGCATGTTTGGGTTTAACACTGTAGGAAGCCTTCTCCTTGGCCTGCCGGAAACACTCTTCTGCTGCTTTTAACCTGGAGATATAAAAAAAATATTTCATGCACTTAATATGAACACTACAATACAACTAACCAAAAAGTACGAATAACAACCAAGGTCGATGTCATAGGGTAATCCATTTGGCAGCTCTTTGCATTTAGGGCATTTCAGGTTTTGCTTATTTGATTCCTGACAAAGATTGTTGCTCCTTCTACTCTCTGACAGCACTGGGCAGCTCCACCTGGCTGCTCCACCTGCGCTGTGTGATGGAGAGACACAACAGCTCCTTCCTTCCTGCTGCTGTCAGAGTCTAGAACCAGCACAGCTCCCAGCCAACCACACACCAAAAAACACATTTCACACTTATTTTTGGTCCAACATTAACTCATTCAAACTTGTGCAATATAAACATTTTGTACATTTAAAAACTCTGCAAATCCATTTTTCTTCATATAGAAAAATCGATGAAATATCAGTATCCAAAGTGTTTGAAGTCCAGTGTGAAGTTTCCTCAGTCTGTAATGGTTTGTGGTGTCATGTCATCTGCTGATGTTGGTCCACTGTGTTTTATCAAGTCTAAAGTCAACTCAGTGTCTACCAGGACACTTTTAGAGAACTTCATGCTTCCATCTGCTGACAAGCTTTATGGAGATGCTGATTTCGTTTTCCAGAAGAACGTAGCACTTGATCACAGAGCCAAAACTACCACCAATGGTTTTCTGACCATCATATTACTGTGCTTAACTGGTCAACTAACTCACCTGCCCTGAACCCTACAAGGAGTATTGTAACAAGGAAGCTGAGAAACACATGACCGAAAAATACAGACAAGCTGAAGGCTGCTATTGAAACAACCTGGACTTCAGGCTGATCACCTCCATGCCAGTCTGCACTGATGCAGTAGTTCATGGCAAAGGAGCCCCGACCAAGTTGTGAGCATATAAATGGAAATAATTTTCATAAGTTAGACATTTCTGTCTTGTATATCCTGTTTTTGATTGATTTTATGAAATATTCCAGGAATTTAAGATACTGGATATTCTGTTTGTCCTTAGGTGTAAACTATAATCATCACAACTAAAATAAACAAACAAACAAAAAGGTTTGGAATATTTCACTTGACATATAATAAACAGAAAATATCTGACAGTTCACCTTTTTGAGTTAAAGTACAAAAAAAAAAAAAAAAAAACCGTCATCATGCTGTTCTGATTTTTTGACATGCACTAGTACATACAGGGGCTGGTTGGGTGATGAGACAGAACTAAAAACCACTAGGATAGAGCAGATCGCCACATGATGAAAAGCAAAGGAAGGAAAACAACCAAAGGCACACAAGAAAAATGATATTTTTGTCATAAAGAAGTTGGGATAACAGTAAAGAAAGAATTACGTAAGAAAAGAAAAAAGGAGAGAAAGGCAGCTGTAGAGCTCAATGTGTCATGTACCTCTCCTTGAGAATGGCCTTGTTCTCTTTCTTCCACTGTTCCTTGAAGTCAGAAGAGAACTCATGCCAGATGCAGAAGAATGTGTTGAGTGAAACCTCCTTCTCGCCTGACTTGGCCTTCACTGAAAAGAACACTGTAAGCTCCAGGAACCTGACAGAACAAATTGTCAGATTAACGATGAGTTTTCGCCAGAGCAGATAACATGTGACACAGGGAATGAAACAAACTGTGAAACTGTAGAGCTGATCTTCACAATAAGTGTCACACGTCTATGAGCTGTTCCATCAAAAAGACATTTCCTCTCTAAACCATGTATTTATTATTCAAAAATATTTTTAAAGCCTTTTACAGCATTATTTTTTAGTCTACCCTCTCTTGTTAATCATTCTCAGAGGCCCTCGTTTATCTTGTGGCCTCTTGGTGAGGATCTACCTCCATGCTGGGAACAACTGGACAGCATGTAAAGTAGGACCAACTCATCCAGCTATAAGAGGAAACACTCATCATACTTTTATGTCAAAATACAAAGACAGTCACATTCCAGATGTCTTTATGTATGAATGAATGTAATTTCTTTTTTCACTGGTGCATAAAAATTTCACTCAGACACATTTTTTACACATATTTTACTCGACATATTTACTATTTATTATTGTCATTTGTCTTTCTGTATACACAGAAAATAAGGCTGTGTTGTACTGCATTTTATTTTATTTATATTTCATCAGAACTCGTCCTTTTGAGTGCGTCCGAACTGTCTTAATACAATATTTTCACATCCACAGAGTGACAGTAAAAACTCACCTGGTAACTTTCACTGTTACACACAGTCCAGCTTTTCTATGAAATCAGCTGATTGTGGACCCACATTGCTATTCCAGATTTTACTGTTATGATTATATAATTAAAGGTAACAAAGATGGTCCTCATTTATTCAATACCTGCGGTGGATGTGGTCATGTCATAGACAACACTCAGCCTGTTATCAATCTAAGCTTTAGATTATTAACAGGCTGTTTAAACCAATCAGGACCCAGGTCTTTGACATTACTTTATCACAGCAGTGACTGGAAGTTAAAAGACAACAGGAAGTGGAACACATTAAAAAAAAGGTGTAGATGAATAATCAGAAATCCTGGGTTACAGTCCTGTTGTCTTAGTTGTCATAAACACTATGGTTTAATCATATCATACCTCCTACACATAAGGCATACGAGCCAGTTCATGAGTAAAGTGTGGTGACCACAGTGAAATGTAAAGTACTCCACTCTCCTTAGTGGGTGTCGTGTGGGGATGTTAAACAGCAGAAACGAAACAGATAAAGGAGGTAGTTCTTACAGTTTGTGAGTGCTGCTGAGTTGAGCATCCAGAGTCTCCAGCTCACTTTTAGCTAAGAAAGAAAGAAAACAAAGGATCAAACATGAGAAAGTACTTAAGTTTGCTGTCAGTAAGCCATTCATTCTGGTGAAAGTTATATGATACCAAGAAATGTTGTCTCTCCTGGTGTCCCTCTGTGCTTTCCCCTGAGCCTGGCTTTCATACAGTAGACCAGTGTTACTCAACTTAGAACCCTTAATGTTGTATGTTGACACTCAACTCACTTCCAATTAATTCAAACTGGGAATGCTTTTACATTTAGTAAATGTTATGTTTTGTCACTGGCCTGTTATTCTGTTCAATTTTTATTGTTTATTTCATCTGATTATTTTATTATTGTTTATTTCTTGCCATCCATCTTGCCATTTTCCAACAGTGGTAAGTTCAGTGTCCCTGCCATAGAAACCGAGATGATATTGCTCAAAAGATGAAGCGTTTTCCAAACTAGAGACCAACAAAGTACAGACTTTCAAAACTGCAGTCTATGAGGAACATGCTTTTGCTGCAGCCCAAGATATATATTTATTTTTATTGCAGAACTGTTTATTCTGTCAATCCATGAGCAGAAAGGCAGACTTGCTGCACCTTATCCAGCGATCCCAATAGATGTGCGGTTTTAATCAGTTACCTTGTGCTAAGAAGCTTTCCATCATGTCTTTGAAAGGCTGCAAGTTTTCCTCATCTGACATCTTGCACACCTTTTCGACTTCTGATGTACACGCTGATCAAATAAAGAAGAAAACAATATAGTCAGGTTAAAATTCACAGTTGCATGAATGCAAAATACAAGGAGGCATGGATGCCCTGATGCTGTGGAAGTATGGTGCAAACAAAGAAAAGAAAAATGCAATAATTGTTGCATTTATAAAACATGTGTCATATAAAACTTTTAATTTATATTTTCACTGTACATTTCCCCAAACAAACATTTTAGTTTCATTCTGCTGTAGGAGACATTAATGCTTGTCTCATATCTTCTGTGCTGAGTGCTCGTGGACAGAGTGCATGCTAGAATTTTCAGAAGCTTTGTATATCTAAGATGTATTTGACAATGAATTGCTTGAATCATGATATGAATAAGGCAAGGTTTAGGTTAAGGTGAAGTTTAGGTTAAGATTCAGGTTTAGGTTTAGGTTAGGGTTGGGCCCTAACCTTAAGTGTGTGTTACCTCTCAGGTCCTTCCTGAGTCGAAGCAGGTCTTTTTGAAAATCTTCAAACTTCATCTGTGAGGCCTGGAACAGATCATGAGGCTCTGGGAGAGGAAACACACACGTCTCCTTGCCAGCATCCTGGTGATTGACACACAGACACACACATAGACACACACATACACAAATCAGTACAAAACAGGAAGTAAAATTGACCATAACTTTTACAATCACTAGTTACAGTTTGGGAGGAGGCTTACCTCTTCGAAGTGCCTGAGGTAGTATGCAACGATATAAGACAGAAGACTTTTCACAGAGTCCTGCATGTTTTGAGAGAAAAAGTAAGTTTACAGTCATACAGGGTTAAAGTGTCACCCACAATGGAGAGTAAAGGTTTGCGTTGCTGTGTGCTAATTCCATTTTGAAGATTTTTGAGGTAAAATAGAACAAAATGAGACGTTAAATGGTAATCAAGTGTTACTCTTTATCTAATTAAATAAAATTGATTAATAAAATGAAACAAAATACTTTTTCAAAAAAAATAAAAAATTTATTAAATCTAATTAAATTAGATTAATTAGATTTTCTGTCATTTGTAGGGGTACATACTTGTTGAAACATTATGTTCTGAGCACTGTTCCACTGTAACAAAACGCAATCTTTCAGTCTGTTTTTGTAAAAAGGGTGTTGGATGTCAAGGGGATAACATGAAGCATGGAGAAAATGATGCAGCAACTTCAAAGGATTTAAAAATATATATTTGGGTAAAATGTCTGCTCTACAATATTCAGATAGCTTTGCAATTGACAAGAGCATAATTCACTAGAGTTGGGGAATCATAACAAAAGGGCACAGCTTACTTTATACAGCTAAGTTGAAGACAGTTAGTCATTTTTTTGTGTACATATTTGCATTGAGTAAGATTAGTGTACAACTCCCTGTCTTAGTATAGAAATCATCCTATACTGGATATTTCAATGTATATGGAAGTGCAACATTTTGGAAAGCTCTCGCTAAGCTATGCCACTGTATAACGTCACATAAATATATTAACTTCAAAAAACTAAAATATCAGCAGCAGGACCAAAAGCCCTTAGTTTCACCACAAAGAACAACATTTCAGCATATTTCAGTTTGTTTCCGCATCTTCCTCTTTACTCACACTGCTCTTGACATCTTTGAGTTTGGGAAGGATGTCGAGGGTGAAGCCATCAGCTTGGCCTCTGGTTCGATTACCACCATTCATGAAGTTACCGAAGGCCAAAACCAGACCTAGGACCGTCTTTACTGTCTCACTGTCCTGTAATGCCTGCAGAAGATAGCAAAGCTTTTCTTTAAAGAAATCTAAGATTGAGAGGATGCAGCACATAACAATGTGATCAGGGAATTGGAGAGAGAGGACATAAATGGGATAAATGGCAGCTGGTGCTTACTCGACTTCCTCCAAAATACCATACAAATCAATATCTAATATAATTCTTTCGTCCTGATTGTCTGTACTATAAATGTATTATATTACTCTATTCTGTACAAACATCTATTTTAAGTGTGTCCATCCGGAAAGATAGAAGCCTCTTGTGTTGCTCTTCCAGTGGTTACTGAGGGAGTAACTTTTTCTTTCTACTAATAGAGGATCGAAGAACACAAGGATGTACATGCTGTGAGGATTGTTAAGAGCCATGAGGCTACTGTGACTTGTAATACTGGTATAGATACAGTTGTGTAAAAAAATTTTACATAACTTATGAAGACCATGAATATCATAGCAGTCTTGAGTTTATTGTGAATCATGAATTAACAGACAAGTATGTGCATATGTGCCTGTGTGCTTCTTCCCAAATAGTGTTCTCTAAAGAGACCCACAGAGGTCCTCACAGACTACTGTTTGTTCTTGGCTGGTTCATTAGTCGCAAGAAGTGATATTTGAGTGGAAAAATCAATCTGCCAAACATATTCATCATTAATGTATTGATCAGCAGGAGGCAGGCTGATTAGACTTTTCACCATCAACAACGAAATAGTAAAATCCTACATACACTAAAACTATTTGTGCATTACTAGCCTCCACAGTAAAAAAAAAAAAAAAAAAGTCCATGTAATGTTTTCACACAAAATAGAATGCACAAAAGTTATCAAAATGTTAAATTCCCTGAAATGGAATGAGTAAATTTGTTAACTTTCTATCTCTGGAATACATGCTTTTAAATTGCTCTGCTTTATATACATAATAATAACACCTCTGGTTGTATCTAAAAGGCTGTTGGACAGAATGTTTAAACATCCTCATTAACCTGGACTAGTGGGTATTTTGTCTACAGTAGAGACCACCATACAGTAATGTGACAGATACCAAAGCAGTGTCTGTTGGGAAGACTTGTCAGTGCATAGACAAAGTTATTGATTGTGACAAATGACATACAACATCTCTGTCACTCCTGCTGTTGATTTCAAAGGAGTCCAGACTGAACCCATCACAATGGTGTTATTATTCCTATACTGAATACCCACACATATGTCCTGTTTACACCAAGCATATATAAAAATGACTGTGACTTTTACAACAAAACATTTTAACCACCAGAAAAAA